ATGAATCAGTTATCAGAATGCAGACAAAATTAATGCATTACGTTATACATATATGTATACATATATATACTTTCAGTTGTTGTGAAGGTGGCAGTAGTTAGTGATAGTTGTGGCGTAGACACATACCCATTCGATGTGGTTTCAAATATATATATACATACATTTACTTGTACTGCTTTCCCACCCCTTTTTATTTAAGCCTAAACTGCAAAAATTCTAGACACATATATTGAAATCAGCTTATTCGATGAGCCTATCTCGTCAGTATTGCAGTTTATTTTTTTTATACTTTATAATCACGAGACATTACATGATGAGCATGTTTGCGTTCGTGTTGTGTGTGTGGTTGTGTGTGTGTGTGTGTGTGCCATGTACATCAAGGCTGTTTTTGAAAAGTTAATATTATTTATTATATTACAATTTTGAATTAGTAAGCAATATACAACAGATCATATTCATTGTCAAAATAATAAATACATGAAGGAATATACATGAATTCATTGCTTCATGACATTGAAACATCACAACATCGTCAAATAACACTAATAATAATTAAACGATATAATAGTTTTAGTTGATGCAAAAGGATAAAATTCTATATGGTAATTATTATTAATTCTATTGTTTCATGTAATTACATACTTGTATTCAATTATATCGATAGATGATGTCTAACATCTCTTATGATTTTGATGAACGGTTCTTTATTCAACTAAAAAAATGAACTAACTTTATTTGCTAACAAATATCTAGAAATGTATTCTGTACAAACATGGCACTGATTGTCATTATTATTAATTGGTTAATGCGATTATAATCTGATGTCAATAGTTATTTTGTGGGTGATAATAACTGTTGTAAAAATATTCATTGCATTGTTTTATTGTGGATTTTAACTGCACGACCTGATCGACGACTGACTGATTGACTAAATTTGAGTATTTTAAATGAAACAGCGATGAATATGTCTATGTATATTGACATTCACTCAATGTATACATGTAAATATCACACTCGGTTGTTAGACCATTGAAGGAATTGAGAAGAATGAATAATATATATTCGGATAATAAATTCTTTTCGATAAAATTAGCTAATGTTTCATCTTTATTGTATATATCGCATTGATCGTCGATGTGTTACTGAATGACAAGTACTCGTAACTGACAGTATGCTACTCATAATGAAGTATTATTTGACTAATAGCATTTCTAAGAAGATTTATTAATGCAAACACGTTCAATAATATATATAGTATTTCAACTCGTTTTCTAGAATCTTCACAGCGTTTTTATTAAAAATAAGCATAGCGTTTTTTAAAATGCTTTTTTAAAAAAAAATGAAAAGAATACTATTTTTAATTAAAGTCTTGTTTATCAATCGATTTTATAAATAATTGCGACGTAAATGCCTCGAATAACCTTGTATAAATCATTTGTGGTTAATTGATTTACAGAATTTAATATAATATAAGATTTGTAAATGATTAATTAAATCCGCTTGCCAGTGATCTTGTTATAATGGATTACTACATTTTTGAAAATGCAAGTTCAATTGGATTAAGCATATATATAACTAACTATAAGGGAACAAAAACATAACCTTTACTCCTTTTTCATCAAAAACATTTTTGGTGCTATTGAAGTGATGGATCTTTGCATTATCAAGGATAAAAATGCAATTCTTAAAAATTGATTTTTGATTGCATTTTTCAATTTCAACTTATTGGAGTTCACTGAACCAAAAAATCTTTGAACAAAGAGAACTTCATTTTCTGTTATTGTGGATATTATCAAACTTGCACTAGTTCTACGTGTTGACTGAACTATGGCATTTGCTAGTTTTCCTCTTGTAGATCTTCCCAAAGTTCTTCTCATATACAAAAAATAAAGGATGATTCATCAATAAAAACTTTTATATTAAGGAGTCTTCGATATTTACTAAAATCTTGCGCATATATATATATATATTTGTCGTTTGATTTTACTTCATTCTGAGTTGATATTATAATCGATGTATGTAAGAAACCTTTTTTAAAGTATAATTTGAAGTCTATTAATTATTATTCTTATAGATTCAAGGGATAGGTTTGTAGAAAACATGTTTTCTATTTTTCCTCGAATTTGTACCATTCTTATTATTGGGTTTAATTCTATTAATTCTTCAACGAAGTTGAGAATCCCATCATTGATTTTCCTCTTTTCTTTTCAACTCTTGAATCATTTTTAATATATAACCTTATAACATTTGTAGCGGCCTGGTAATTGACGTCACCACAAAAAAATGCTGCATCTGTAACACTGTATCCATCTTCAATAACCTTTTTTGATAAGGATATGTTTTCATTTCTTTGCATTTGAAATCCAATTGTTTTTCCATATTCACTTCTGAAATTTTAAGGATGATAAAACAATTTGAAAAAAAAAACGCTGTGAAAAATTTTAAAAAACGATTTGAAACACTACATATATATATGTTCACTTGTTAAGCTATACCACTCACTCCCTTTTCTCTTAAACATAAATTTATCAGGCTTAAATCTAACTTGAAATCAAGGTATTGAGCTAACTGACAGAATAAAACTGTAAATTATCATTCTGATCATTTCTGTCGTCGATGTACGATGCATCAAGAAAGAGCACCACAAAGAAAATAAACACAATGTGAAACTCCTTGTACAACAACATGCTTATTAAATTAGAAATAAATGTATAATTTTAGTATTTTTGTCTTATATAAAAAAAATGTCAAAGATTCTCATTGTGAAAATTAGAACAACACATATAATAAGCAAATGATATTGTTTACAATTAGAGATTATCATCAACAACTTGTACTTTTACTTAATTATGTGCTGTGATTGTTGACTCATGATAAATTGCCTTCATCGGTTGAACATTTTCATATATAAATCATCATGTATATTCGAGAGTATGAGGTCTGATGATGATGACGACAATCTTATTAAAAACAATATTCTTATTAGAACAACACAGATATAAGCGAACAATAATCGTTGTTTTCGATTAGATCGTCATCAGGCTGCTTTACTCTAATATATACATGAATATTTATATGAAAATGTTAAACCAATCAAGGCAATTCATGAGTGCTAATCACAATGAAATGAAAAAGGCTAAAGTACAAGTGGATAGTAGGAAGATAGGTGAACCGATAGTAGTAGGAAAATTTATAAAATATGATAACTAAAGTAGGTCAGAGGTGGATGAATAGACTTCAGATAATCATTAGAAAAAACATCAAAATCATTACGTAATAAGCAAATGTGTAAAAATGAAATTAAAATCAAAAATAAAGTAATGTCAATCGTTAGTTACGTCATATCGGGCCACGGAAGAGATAGTGGTGTCAGGAATTTCTTCTGAACACATAAATTAGGGCTGAATGTACGTATTCCTATGGCTTCTGCTTTGAGTGTAGGAGATGGGATGGAACTCCGTTGGTAAATGATGATGGAGGTATACGATAGATCACCCCCGAAAAGATCTAGATTTATCTACAATATGACCACTATCTACCAGGTGTGCTAAGATAGAACTGCGTATTGTTTTTGACTGACCGTTCGTAAACCATGCTGTGAGATGTTCACTCATTCGTTGGTTAAGTTGCCTGGAAGTACGCCCGATATAGTTATCTCCATCACAAGAGCATCTGAATTTGTAAATGAACATAGAGGAGGCCAACTCAGGTAGGTAACTTATCCCTCGTTCGGGTAGACATCGCTGGTCGACAGGAGAATGGGCATCTTTATTTAATATTCTTATTGTCATATAAAAAACGAAAATTACAATGCACTCACTCATAAAATAATCATCAACTAAAATAACTAATTCACACAGAGACAAAAATATTATGTAATCAGTCGTTTTATATTCAGAAAATAATAAAAACAAAAAAAAACTTTTTTTATATCATAATCAGGGTGTGGTTCTTGTTGGTTAGTTCTTTTTAATAAAATTTCCTGAATTCAGTGAAAAAAAAGAAGAAACTATTTCATATTCTTTTTAACAAGAAAATTTTTTTCTAAGATAAACTTAAATCCTCCTCAAAAATTGAACAAAAAAAATGCTTTTTTGCCATATTCTTCTAACCTGAATTTTTTTGTTTTAAAACAAATTCAGTGTAATAATCAATATAGTTTTACGAATAAATCTCTGCATAAAATTAAATTTAAGATTTTTTGTGTAATGGAAACATTTACTAGCATATTGGAAGTTTTTATAAACATAAATTACGATCTCTACCTTTTAATGGTAAGGAACATCATTAGGTATATTTCAAGTATTTGATGATATTCATTGTAATTAGAAATCTGATGATGAGCTTCAATGCTAGGACGAAACGACTGTTCACTAGTTCCAGGTTTCTAATGATCCATTCATAATTTCAATAAAACTGAATAATCTCCATGAAGTCTCTGTTGAAAAAGAAAAAACAGATATTCATTGTGTTATATGGCATCTGGAATTTTTTACAAATATTTCTCAACACATTCAATTTTATTGCATGATTTTCCACTTATCCATATCTTAACTATCCTATGCATTCTCTTTAATTTTTACTTAATATTATTCGGGTTAACGTTTTTTTAGCGAGTTAGTTTTTTCTGTGGGACGGGGTCGCCAGCCCCGTGTCCAACCTGCCTCCTTTATCCGAGCTTGGGACCAGCAGTAGCCCCAGAGAGGCTCCAGACAAAGTTATACATTCTCATCAACTAGGAATTTTCTTCCCTAAATTCAGTGAATTATTGTAGATAATTGTTTTTATGTTGACCAGAAAAATAAAAGAGTGAATTTTATTTATGCTTTGCGAAACATTGTGAACTAAAGAAATATTGACATACTACTATGTAACACTTTAATGGCTGAATATTTTCATTTTGTTATTGAATGCTAAATTAAGATAAATCACTGAAATATCTTTTATTTTCTTTATAAATTACTCAAATACTGTTATTTTCCTATAAATATACATTATAGTTGTTGAGGAAGAACATAGTGGTGGTTCCGATAGTCGAGAAGGATGTAAGCTCAGTTTTCATACTGGGTCTTATCCAACACAAATGTTTATTGAACTGCAAGAATTGGTACCAAGAGTCGATGGTGGATTACAATTTGATGAGTCAATTTTTAAAATGCCAGTTGCAGCTCATTTTCGTGTACTCTGGTTGGAAACAGCAAGATGGGTGAATTTTGAAGAGAATTTCAATGAAGTTGAACAACGTTTCACTGAAGCTCATGTACCACCAATGAAATTCTCATCGATAAGTAGTTTCAAGGATAAATTGCAACAAAGTAAGAAATTGAATTATTTTTGAATGACAGTAATTAACTGAAAAATATATATTCAACAATTGCATTCTAGATGTTTTTAGTAGAATATAAAACTTTTATACAACATGTGTTTCCATTAAGACCTTTTTCCTCCTATTGAAAAAAAGTATTTTCACAATAACCATGTATCAATAATTTCTCTAAATCAAAACTATGCTTTGATTAAGAAGAAAGCCAACTAAATTGATAATTTAAGTTTTCTGATTGTGTAATATTATTCGCTTAGAACTATGCCTAATAAAAATAGTCAACTAAATTGTACTTGTTACATATTAATGAGAGAAAAATAATTTTCTACTTCTTAAGGGATGATAAATTTATTATTTTTTACAAAAATCTAATTCACTTCATGCTTAATTTCAACATTTTGTAAAGTGAGCATATTCAACTTTTAGGACTGCTACTCAATTATTTTTTCTTACCGATTAAACGGATCTAAACTAATTTTTATTTGAGATTGGAAAACATGTTTTTACACTTTTAAACAAAAAATTAAGTTTTATGAATTAGAATAAGTTTGAAATTTAATTATGAATTCTGTGTTTTAACATTTTGAAATCATGAACGAATCATTGTTAGACCACAGCTGGAAACCTGTAAGCACTAGAAGACAGCCGTTTCGTCCTAGTATGGGACTCGTCAGTAGTGCGCATCCATGACTCCTGTACTTTGCAGGATTCGAACCCAGGACCTTAGGTGTTGCACGCAAGCGTCTTACCTCTGTAATGATAATCATTTTTATATTTCTACTAATCATAATACTCAATCAGGAAGTAATTGACATAAACCCAACTAAAGATCCTGCAAATGGTAAACACAATCAGTGTGTAGAACTAAGTCTTCTGTTTACAATGATAATCTAACTGTGACAACTAGATTGTGTTAATGCATAATACAGAAGAATAAAACCTATTTTTCCAGAAACAATAACTAACTGAGATTTATGTACTTAACTTTGAACATATGTATAATGATTGTAGTGAAAACTACTTGCTTACAAGTTTGACTGACCAATTTTAATTGAAAGAAACTTTCTCAATACACAAATTACAGTTCAAATAGTGACATTTGTTATTTTTTATGTGTACGTGTAATTCTAATCAAAAGTTTACAGACGCCTAATTAGTAATAGTACATAATAATAATGCTAGTTGGTGTCTGGAAAAAATAAGACTTCTAGATATAATTGTGTTGTAGAAGAAAATGTGTTTTGATTAGTATTTCTATGTATATGTATATATTTATGTTAAGCAGCATAGATTTTGCATTTTTGCTTTGAACAAGGAAGAATTATTATGGATGAGTAGAATAAAATGGCATCAAATCAATAGTTTAATTATTGAATCAATTACTTTTACTATTTTTATGTCTATCATTACTGACGTACAGTATTATTTCATTTGATTCATACATTCTTTCTTAAGTTATCTGACATATAGATTAGGTAATGATGGTCGGTCAGATTATTTATTATACAACATTCCTTGTTGTTGGCTTTTTAATTAGTTTTGTGTAAATCTAACGAGTCATTTGTTTGATATGACATTCTCAAAGAGAGATGATACGTTAAGCTTGTATAGGCTCTCTACTCGAACTGTCATAGGAATTGATTACTTGGAGTTCTGTTTAGCAGGACTGTTCACTGCCTACAATCTTATTCAACTTTGTTGTTACTGACATACTTTTATAGAAGACACTCTCATTAAATGACTTTTCAGGAGTTGAACATTTATCAGGTGATTTGCTTGTTGACTTAGAATGTGCTGATAAAATGCAGTCTTCTGACGCTCTTAAGCAACAATGAAAGCATGTTCGCATTGCGATTCTCCTCCTCTAACCGATGGTTAGAGACCCTTAAATGACATGGCTCAAAATCGTTTGCATCTATTCCTTGTGTTCTCTCAAATTCTAATCTGAACTCCTCATGACCTTGATCTTTCTCTTATCAAATTTATTTCACTGGATAAAACTCCATGAATAACATTTTCAAACCGTAATCTTTCCGAATACTGCTCAATCTTCAACTACATGATCCTACGTACAAACTTCTACGTTGTTGCTGACTGACTGACTGGTTGGTATTTTCAATCAACCTCAATTTTAGCCGATATTTTCAACTGTTTATTGAATCGTTTATTCGTTTTACCATACATAGAAATAAAGTAAAATTAGCTAAAATAACTTTAATTTACTTCAAAATAACCAGAAAAAAAACCCATTTATGTTGCTTTTATTACAAAGTAACAATCGATACTCATAGTAATAATAAAAAATAATAATTTTCTTCACTTGTACTGGTTATCAATCATGAAAATGTGTTATATATATAAATACATATTTATATGTTACAAACAACTAAGTACCGATCTATTCAGGTGATATACAACATAGGTAAATATTTATATACGTATGTATCTATATTGTGTTTGCTGTATTAGAATGTGCAAACTGACAATTCAGTGTTTTCATGATGAGTAACAGATTTTTTTTTGCTTGCTTGCTTGCTTGCTTTAATGGCTCCTCATATTCTTTTTTATGGATAACTATCTCGTGAATCACAGTGTGTCAATTGATTTTTGACTCATTTCATTGTCATTCCATTACATAGAAAATTTATGTCAGCTGATTTTTTTTAGTCTGAAATAGTAGTAGTAGTAGTAATCATTTGATGATAAGGTTGATGTATAAATTTGTTGTGAAAGTAGATCATTATAAGAATTTTAAAGTAAATAATAATTGTTCAGTATGTGTGTTTAAAAAATAAATGTATCTAGGTAAGATTTGTAATTATTATTATTATTAATAGTAGTAGTAGTGTAGTGAACGTGAACACAGGTGAGGGCAACCGGATTGATTTAACGAAAATTACAGAGTTACTCAGTAAAATCGGAAAACCATATCGTAAATCGTTCATTTGCAAAATAACAGTTCATCATATCAAACTGGACTGTTCCTGTTGCAAAACATCAATCCATTATCACTATTCATGCGTTTCATACAAATTCCATTGTTTTCTAACTGTTCCTTTCTTGATCTTCCCCCATGTTCTGCTGCCAGACATTACATTGACACTCGTCATATACTACTTATAAGTAGATCGCACCACAGTAGTAGTAGTAATAATAATGTGTAAATGTCCCTCATATCAATTGATAATGAAATATTTTCATTGTAGGATGAATCCATGAAACGATGAATAGTTCTTATTTTTATATGTGAAATTATGGTAGTGTTCTCGAGGCGGGTGATCGAAGACGATGCTATGAAATAACTTGTTCGATTTTGAGTGTATGAATTTGAAACTAATGAACTTCGATCGATCTGCCTGTTGCTGTCAAGCTAGAAACCTATTTATAATGAAAAAAATCTTACACTGAATTCATACGTATTCATTTATTGTGTAACTATAATAGTGTGGTGGTATGCTAGATCAAAATGACTGCTAGTAGTTGTTATTGTTGAGTGTTTTATTTTTACTGAATTCAAGGATTTTTCTTGGTATGAGACGTACTTACGCCCCCAATAGAGCATTGACCATCGACCACCATTCTCTAACCTTACTCTTTCCTAGGTCTAAATCTGGTTGTAGAGTTGTCTTTATTTAGAATGACAATCAGTGAATGCACTCATGCACTAAAAACATGCACTTTGAGTTTATTGTGCCTTAAACACGGACGGAACTAGTACAATAGCGTGATAATTTGTCAGTTAATCTATACGTTTATATGATTAGCTATCGAATTCGTCACACTGGCGCTGTATTATTTAGTATTTTAGACAGTCAGATATGAAGTAAACTCGACATGTGTCTCTAATTGGCCATCATGTTTTTCTTGCTTACAAAAACTATGAAAACAATGTTATCGTGTAAACAATCATGAAAACGAGATACAATTGTCAAATAAATTCATTTATTACAAGGATTAAAACAATGTTTTATGTAGGTGAAAAAGAATTTTTTCTTTCTTTTCAGTCTACTGTCATCTGTGCAATCAAAATGATTTTTATACAAAGGATTTTTTTGGATGTATTATTTCTTTATATTTCAGTGAACTGATCGATAAAGATTTGTATAAGTAGATAGTAATAGTAATATCTGTATTATTGACTCAGTTTGTGTTTTCATAACAGTCGACATTCACTACATTGAGTTGGATTGTAACGAGAACTCCTTCACTTTCTCTGTTTCTAAAAGGTCATGATATTCAATCTTGTAGAAATTTTCACTCATACAGTGAACTTGGTTTGCGCTTCAACCGTTTATTATAACTAAGGAATGCTCTACTGTATTCCGTGCATTCCTCTGTTTAGTATCTAAAACAAAATTAGTTTCACGTTGATCAAGCAATAAGTTTAGACCTGTGAAACGCAAAAACTCCGGGCACGGAAAACTCCTCAGACATGAATAAATAAACAC